TTGCATAATTTATTACCGATTACACACATGGGATTATACAAAGATAGTTACATGCAATTATAGTATCACATAGTAATTGTCATGTATGAGACGCGATAGTCATAAAATCAGGAATGATTAAATTTAGAGTTCTACAATCTATGAAATTTTCTACTGAGTTTGCTAAATTCTAATCAATATGTCTTCACAAGACATATTTTTCTATTTATTACCTTTGTTTCAGACACATTCATGGTCATCTCCTCAAAATTCAAAGCCTTTTCTAATATTTTCTGAACAGAAGTCTTCACGTTTCTTAAATGTTCTCTAGAAACATTTAGATTCTTTTCGCTTAACTGGCAAGACCCATTTTATCAGTCATAAAAAGTGACTATGCTCAGAATATAAAGTGTCACATTCTCATTGGATAAAGCACAGTCTTTATTTTGTAATAGGAAACCAATGTGGAGCAGGGGCAGGTTTGTAAAATAGTTTCATTTGCAAATGAAAACATGTAGTACCAGTCTTGGCCTCTGCATGGTGCTGGTGTTATGTCCTGGGAGAAATCCAGCCCAAACAACCCTGTAATGCAAAATAACGCCCCCCCCCCCCGTACTACCCATCAGAATAATCACAGTAATGAAACAACTGATTCAAATAAAAAGGCGCTATACCTGAAACTTTGCCTTATGCAAAATTTGGCTTGTGCACAACAATAATTTTGCCAAGTCACTTGTGGAAATTACAGTGAAGCTAAATAAAAATGACATGAAATCATGAGTTTAGATATTCTTGATTCATCTTTGGGATCTCGCGAATGGGCTCGACATCACTTTTTCTTTTTATCTGTGTGTTGTTTTCTCTCTTCTGTAGATGGCTATTTGGAATGGTGTTATGAAAAGGAAATCCTTCGAAAAGAGATTTCGTAGGATTTCTGCCAGGTTTTTTTTCTCTTTAGTCACTGTGATTCCTTTGAACTCTAAAATTCACTTTCATAGCCAAAATCTGATTTATTTTGAATATTTTGATTTTCTGTCAGATTCTTCACAACTTTAAAGTTAGTGTTTTGTTTCCATTTATTTTAATGTGAAACAGGTATATTCATTGAGTTGATGGCAGCTTTATGTGATACATAAAGTTTTTTATCCATTTGCCAACTGTATGACAATTGAAGATACTATAAAATATTATAAAACATTTGGCCTTTTTGTTCAGTTTTTTGCCAGCTGATGAATGGACAATTGTACTGGCTTTATCTAATTCCTTCCTATTCTTCTTTCGTAATGGGACACAACTGTTTTCTTCCCTTTAGGCTTACACATTGGCCATTCAGTCAAGACAAAGGCAACAATGAAAGAAATTATTCAAATAATTAACAGAAAGGACAGATTTAGGGTCTCTAAATATCTTAAGCCACGTAAAGTGCCTTTTATCACTTGTTTCACCCATTTAAATATTTATTGAGTAAATTACTTCATGCCAACTGGTTTGGATCTGGCTTTAGCAGCGATAGTTAAAAAGCAATGCAGAGCACAGAGAAAATGCAAGAGGACTCAAGAATTGAAACTGAGGAAATATTTTTAAAAATTATATTGAATTACCAATTCAATTCTGTTGAATTACTGTTATTATCGCTTTCCTCCCTCCATCCTTCCCTTCCCTCCTTTTTAAAAAAAGTAAATAATCCAGAAACTGCCCTTGAAAAAATTAGATCACTTCTAACCTGGAAGACAAACAATTGGTCTTAAAAACTATAAATGGTCTTAAATTCTAGAATGAGAGTAAGGATGCCAGTGGAGGGATAAATTCTTTACTGTAGCTTATGACACTTATTATTGGTTTCATTCTGAGTCCATTTCTTAAGAGGGCTGAGTATGACGTGTTGACTTTGTTTTAGATACATGAGTGGTAATGTCATTCGAAAATGTTGGACTCTTTTGGACAAAATCATATAAACATCAGTAACTATTTGTAAGTGATTTATTACCCTTAAATCCTTTGTTGGAAATGTTGTTCTTCTCCTGGAAGTATAACTAACAATGTGTGTGTATGTGTGTGCATATATGTATACATATTTCCAGAAATAAGAATAACAATTATTACCTGACATTTTTTTTAAAAATACCTATTTATTACACAACTACCATACTTTTTGATATAGAATAAAGCTTATTAGTAGGAATAAAAACTATTTGCTTAGTTCCCTTACAGATTTATTCTTTAATAATTTTTCATGCTGTATTATTTACCTCCGGGGTGTGCCTAATTACCAAAGTAAGAAGACAAAGTTAACAGCCTATGAGGGCCAGATATGGCCAACTAAACAGACAGCTATGATCTGTGCAGCTGGGTACTGCAACCTGGTGTGGAATGAACAGAGTGAGCTGTGCCATCTGCTGCAACCTCAATGAGAGTTTCATCCAGTGAGTTCAGTCACAGAGGCTGTTGTCCACTGAAATACCAACTGCCTTGACTTTATATTTTAACCCTATTTAATAAATTATTAATTTATTAAAGATAAGTTCCTATTAGTATAATAATTTGGAAGACCCACTACGCAGTCTTATCTAAATAATAGTTTCTGAGAAGACAAATATAATGGTTGGAGCACAGGCCCTAGACTCCAGCTTTAGTGGTGATTCTGTGACTTACCAGTATTTCACCTCCAGCAAATTACTTGACATCTGTGTCCCAGATTCTTACGTGTAAATGACAATAAAGATGGTTTCTATGGCTTAGGGCTGTTGTCTGGGTTAAATTGGATTATACGAATGCACCTTACAAGGTGCCTAGCATATTTAGAACCCAACAAATTAACATTAGTATTAAATTATATTACTATTTTTATTCCATTAATAGAATCAGTTTGAAGTACGGTGCTAGATGTTGCAGACACTAGTCCTATATTACTGACAATTCATTACTGGTGTGACTAGTAACTCACCATATATGTTACAACAGACATAAACCAATAAATTATGATATATTAGAGGAGTTTCTATTATGTTTTTTTAAGGCAACTGGTTGGAGGTCTGCCTTTTTAAAGAATTCTCTGGAACTCATAAGGAAGAATATAGGAAAATCTATTAGGACCAACACATTAAAGGATTTTCAGGGCATCTGGGTGGTTCCGTTGGTTAAGCATCTAACTCTTGGTTTCACTCAGATCCTGATCTCAGGGTTCATGAGTTTAAGCCCCGAGTTGGGCTCTGCACACTAACTGCACATGGAGTCTGCTTGGGATTCTTCCTCTCTCCCTCTCTCTTTGCCCTACCCTACTCCCTCACTCTTGCGCGTGCACTCTCTCTCCATCTCTCTCTCTCTCTCAAAATAAAAAAAGATGAAAATAAAAATAAAATATAGGATTTTCAGAGTTAATGACAAACACAACTTTATTTGTCATAAAGAGGGCATGAAGAACATTGCTACTCTGATTCACATCTCTTGAAAGCTGATACTTGACTCACAATGCTTATCTTGCTTTTCTTTACTATCAAAGACCTAAAACAAAATTAGAATAAGCCTACTGTAAGTCAGAAACAAAGAGTTCAAAAAATTTTATAAAATATAATTTTTGCTCAAATGTTGAGTTTGTTTTTGTTTTTATTTTTATTTTGGAATAGCTGGTCAAAACAAAAATAAAAAGCTAGTGTACTGAATTGTTAGCTCTCTAAATGATGATGTAAGAATGGCATCAACCAAACCTCTTTCACGCAAGTGACTGGAATGGATCCTAGAGGGGACCCATTAATGGGATGCCATTCTTTGGACTACTCTTGGTAACATACAAGAGCGATGTGCTTGTCAATTTTTTCTAATCTACTTGAAGCACTGAATGTGGCCAGCAGCCAATCCCGACCTCAGGAACTCTCACAGAGTCTGTACCATAAGGCATCTGGACTGACTGGCCAGTGAGTGTATCAGCCATCTTGGCCTGTAAAACCCAATAGTGGTGATGGCGGTAGCTGCAGCCACAGCAGGTCATATTGGCGGGACATTTGAGATGCTGCAGACAGCAGGGCTAGCCAGAGTAGAAGGAGGATTAGTGAGCCTGAAATGCCCCGACCACCGTAGAGAAAGTTTGTCTTTAGTTCCTGAAAGGATCGTCTTCCTTGCTATTAGGATATTTTGATATGTTAATGATTTTAAGCATAATGTTCTTGAGACGTAGTACTATTTGTTCACCTGTAAATACTGTTTATGGCATCATTTGTGTGTACAGAGTTCAACGGGAGAAGCTAAGGGCATATCCTATTTTATTCTGAAAGTGACATAGGGACTCACTTTATCTCTTAGCCCTCAGTATCCACGTCTCTATAAGTAAGTTCTGCTGAAGTAAATTTTAGTGATAGGTAGGAAAGAATGCAGTATCAGTGACTTATTGTTGTTCTGTGTCTGTCCAAGAGCAGGTATCCCAAAGCACACTAAGTAAAGCATGTGCATTTAGTTAGGAGAGGCTATGTTATGTAATGGTAACAAACCAAGTAGAATAACATAACACACATTTAGTTCATGTTCATATAAAGTCTGCAAATACTATGCTCTTGTGACAAAAATGGTGAAAGTAGCAAACGATCTCTAAAGTTTTAAAAACACTGACCTCAAAGGAACCACTGTAAATCTCAAATTTTAGTATGTACAGCTTTAGACAAACTGGGAATATCAGGTGGGGCATAGGAATGTGTTCTTTTCACAAACACCCTGTGTGATTCAGCAGCAGATTGTCTGGGACCACATACTGGGAAGGATTATTTCAGAGGCCAGTTGTTCTTTGGCTATTAAGCAGAGAACCAGTGAGAGAATCCATTACAGAACTCCTGATGAGTACTCAAACTCCCCCACCCCCTTTTTCCCTCACTACCATGGTGTGAAGCTAACAACAAAGGGTTAAGCTTTTGAAATGAGATATTTGGCCTGCCAGGCAATATCTACAGAATTGCCATTTCCCATCTTACCTGGTTTTCCATGTTGTCTAAGGCTCTACACTCTGGCAGTCTAGCTCTTCTCATCAAATACAAGAATACCAGCAGATACTGTTGGTAGTCCCAGAGCTCTTCAGCTCACTGAGGTTTTCATTCACCATTGGGGGCAAGTCAGTTTTGTTACTTAAATTGTGTTTTTATTCCCATGTTTCCCAAGGGTACCTAGAAATCTCTCCCGTGAAGAGTGACTTATCATGACATCCTGATTTGTATATAATGTTCTGGGTTTGTATGTGGATCATTAATAGAAGACTCTTTTACCCTTGAACCATGTCTTGTTCAGATGATTAATTATATGGTGAGTCTGCCCCTGAGGGTTCTTGTTGTTGTTTTTTGTTTTTGTTTTTTTTTATGATCAAATGATGGATTTGGTCTCAAAGACTCTTCATTCCGTTGATAGTGGCTAAAACCACATGGGGACAGCTGAGGCTATGGTTAGTTCTGGATGTATAGTATTTTTAATAGCCTTTTTTTAAATTTTATTTTGGCATCGTCTTTAGATTGCAGACTGGAAAAAAAGGTAGACGGACATACAGAGGACTTAAAGGGAATGAGCAATGGCATTCACTGATAACTGAAGGAGAAGCCAAAGCAGATTTTGAGAAATCCAAAGGAGCTCATTATTCTGGCAAATGCCCTCACCTAATCTGAAGGAGGACATGTAAAACTGAAGATGAATCTGTGTGTGTAGCGTGTACGTATGTAACTTACACTCATATGTTATCTCATGGACATGAATGATATGAATTTTGTATCCTAATGAAAGGTTGTAATGTCTTACGTTGCCTCAGTTCCATCATCGAGTTTGCACAGGCACTGCACAATCTTATATAAAGAATCAGTTGTATAAGGCCACCCATATATGTGTAATAAAAGTTATATGCACTACTTTTACTCTTCCTGGAAATACACCATTAGATAACACATATGAAAGCTGCTACTTACTTTCTAGTTACTTCAACTGGAAGAGAGTAAAAGAGGATTCCAGAAGAACATTATATCACACTTAGAGCAACCATTAGGTCTGTGGCTCATCAGACTGGCTTTTAAAATATGCATGTGCCTTCAGAGACCACCCCAGGTTAAAAGTCTCTAAATACTTCATGTTGCTCTACTGTTAAATAATGTTTAGAGTTTGTTATCTTCTGCGGGCCTTGGAAATCTAATTATTTATAATATCCAGTGACATTTACATTTTACTAAATATACTCTGCTTGTAATAGTACATGTCGTGCATAGGAAAATGGGTAGATAATGCCTGGCTCTACATTTGCTTATATTGCAAACTATCAGGGTAACCTGCGTTATCTTTTTGTTATAAGTATATGATGTTGAAAACATAATTCTCAAGAAGTGCCCTTAATAGTACCATTTAAAAACAGAATAAGAAAAGTTATCGTAGCTGAAATCATTTGTTCACCATTTAAGTCTCAAGTATCAAATGGAATATCTATTCAAGTTTATTGGTATCTTCAAATAGCAACATTCATTTCCATGCCAACAGCTACAGAGTGTTTGCTTTAGTTTTTGAGATTGATTGAAAGTAGATTGTAAAGTTGACCTATTGTGTTAAGCTTATTTACACAAACATAGTGTCTTGGAAAAGAAACTCGGAAAGTGCATAGCAGTGGAATCCTAAGGTATTTCACATCCTGAGCTTTCTAATCTGCTTTACTGGGATCTGTCATATAAAGAGGTCAACTTTTTCATAGTTACCTTATTTAGGAGAAAATTACTTCAAAATATATTCTTAAACTTGGGCTGAAATTTATGGGTCGCTTTAAAATAAAAAGTTTTGCTTCTCATTGGTTTGAAGAATTCGCCTCGGTAAAGTAATTTGTTAGTATTAACACGCTTATCAAACAACCACGGGCGACATTTTTTTCAGGCTCTTGAAACACACAAGAAACATAGAAGAGTTGAAAATAACGTTACTAAGATATAATCAATAAAAAAGCCGTAAATGTGAAGAAAAAAAACCAATTGCAGTGGAAACTGGAAAAAAAAAATCAATGTGGGTGCTGGATGATGGGAAATAGATCATTTCAAATCAATTTGGGTGCTGGCTGGTGACCAATCGATGATTTAAAATGAATCTGCGTTTACTCAAGGGTTAATCTTGGTGAGTGAGCATTTAAAAGCCCTTCCTGACGCTCGGTCCTCTCCTGTTGTGTACACTTCGATAATCAGCCTATTCTATACGGGCCTCCCTCCGGATGCCCGTTGCCCGTCAAAGCGCGGACTTGTCTCCTGCGCTGAGTGACGTGGGGCCAGTAATACCGGGAGGGCGGGCGGGAGCCCGGGCACGTGGACCAGAAACGCTTCCTAGAAACAGCTCAACCCTGCCTGAACTTTCCCTGTAAACACAGCCCGCTGACAGAACGGCATCCCTGCTGGGCGGACCCTGCAACTCGTAGAGGGAATGGCCCGTCTTGTTTTTAATTAGCAAGGTGAAAGGTGAATTAAAACTAGCTGTTTGGCAAGTCAGTGCAAGAGGCTGACTTCTGAGAGGCTTCAAGGAGCCAGAAGAGAAGAGCGGTGCGTGTGCTCAGGGGTTTTCTTTTCTGAATGAACCGCTTGCAGAAGTGACAAAAAAAAAAAAAAAAAAAAAAGAAGAAGAAGACAGTTTCCTCCGGAGGCTATACCCGCGCAGTTACTGAAGAGAGCTCTGGACAGGACATGGCTCGGAAGACTCACTCCTTGGAATGCCCTCCTGCTCCCGGCTTATAAACAACTGTCCTCCTCCGGGGAAGAAAGGTTTTACGTATCCAAATACAGCCTGACAAATGGCACTTTGGGACCGTGCTTTCTGATGACAACGCGTTCGATTTCTGACAAAGCCTCTCACGCGCTGCCCCTGGAGGGGAGTCCTAAGTGAAACTCGGACCCGCCTTCAAGTGCGGATCGGAGGGCTTGCCCGGGGCGGGGGGCAGGCAGCAGCATGGCAGCGGCCGCCAACCTGGTCACCTGGCTCCTGTGGAGCCACTTACTGGAGCTTTGGACAGGAGGGCACACGGCAGATACCACTCACCCCCGCCTACGTCTGTCACATAAAGGTAGGTCACCTTTTTAGACCCTTTTGTGAAAGAGGGGAAAAAGAAATGAAAGCCCTTTAACCTAGATCTTGGGTCGTCACAGACCCTTGAAACGCAGCTGAAAAAAAAAAAATTATTGCAAAACTGACCCAAGATTCTAAGTACCTGTAATTAGCATGTCACGCTCACCGCATCTGAAAATAGTGCAAAATTGCATGCCAACTTGCAATGCAAGATGTTATTTTTGTCTTGTAAATATTAGGTTTTATTAATGAGAAGTTCGCTCACTAGCAGACACACAGAAGAGGGCAGGAAGCAGGTTGTAAATAGCCTTGAGGCGCTGAAGCCAAGTTAGCAGTAGGTATTTGAATACCAGTTTATGCCTTATGGGAAACACGATGTTGGAGAAGGGCTTCAGAAATAGAGGTGCAGTATAGGTTTGGTGTCGCCCATAATGGGGATGAGGGGAGGAAAGAAAATTCCTGAGAAGCCAAATGATTTCTTACCCGTGATAACAAAGTCATCACCGTGTAATTAAAATGACTAACGACTGATATAAATTAGCTTGTTAGTCGATTTGATTATTAGAATTTCTTTTATGTTTGGCAAAAAAAAAACCATTCAGAGTTTATTAGCCATCCTTGTAAACTGATTTATATGGATCAAAGTATTAAGAAACTATTCACTAGCATCTATTCTTTTTGTGTGAATTCATAGTGCTTAACTGAAGATTTTTCAGAAAGTGCTTAAATATTTTATTCTGAGCTATGTCTTGTAAAGCAGCATTTGGTCATAAATAAATGATCAAAAGGTAGCTTTTGCATCAGGACCAGTAAAAGCCGGTCATGAATAGGTTTGATGATTCTTCCTGTAAACAAACAAACAAACAAACAAACCCCACACATTGAGAAAGTGACTGCTGACCCTAACGTAATTTGGAATAAATTTTCTGGGAAGAAGTATTTATTATCTATCATTAATCACTAAGACAGATAACAGTGGCAGTAACAAGAATTACATAAGAACCACTTTTAAATTGTGTATGCTTTTAAATCATCCCGGTTCCAGAAACCTGTGTTTTTAAAGTATAGGTGTGATCTTTACTGGAGGGAGAAACAGAAATGGAAGCCTCAAATTTAGATGACATGAATGATCTTGTTTGTTTGTTTGTTTGTTTGTTTTTATTGGGCAGTCATCAGTTGGTTCTGAGCATAGAAATTTCTCATTTTTAGGATAGTTAACAATCTATGAATACTTTCTTCATTTAAATAGATTTCCTCCTGTACTCCCCTGTAGATAATGAAAGTTTAAGAGACATGCAGACAGTATATCTGTAAGGAATCTAAAATACAGTACCTAACGTTAGCACAAATTATTTGAATTGGAGAGATGTATCATGGTATGTATCAAAAATGCATATTTCTAAGAACTTTGATCAAATGTATCAAAATGTAAAAATTGGATGTGATGAATTATGGACAAAGAAGGATGTCAGAAAAAGAATATAATAAATGGGCTGTTTTTCTTGTGTAGACAAGTGGATAAGCTGCAGTTTTGGCAAGCCATTATTCAACTACACCTGGTATCAACCTTTTATACCTCATTATTAGGGTACTTGTCTTCAGTAGTTCAACATCAGTATATTTTTGAAGCTATCTAATATCAATATTTCATTAGAGAGCTTATAATCTGGTCCAAGCATACCCAAACTCTCTAATGCAACTAAATGCTATGCATACGATTGTTATCAGACTCATCTGGACCACATCTTTTATTTTTTCCCATTACCTCTCTTAATCAAAGGTAGCTGTAATTGATTTTTGGGGTTGTGTTAGATGATGTGGGAGAAGAAATTCTACCTACGTGTACACTAGACTGAAAACTACCACAACATTTCCCTTGGTTTTTAACCTTTTGATGTAATGGCACGAGCTGAAATCCACAATGTTGTGCTTTTCTACAAAGACAGTGTACAGTTACCTGAAAATAGAGTGTTCTCACTTGTGCAAGTGAGCTGGAAAATCAGCTGAGAGATCACACCAGCGATGCTACGGGAAGCAGCAAATGTAGGCGCTGCAGGTGCCTCAGTGCAAGGGAGAGCACAAGACTGCTGGAGCAGGAATATTCAGCCCCATCTACTTTTGACACTCGAAACAGCCCATTTACTCTTTAAACTCTGAACTCCACTGGACATCTTAGAGGTAGCCAAAAACAGGGTGGAATATTTCAGAGTATAATCTTTTGCTATCTTAAATGATGTCAGAAATGGTACAATTTGACTAATGGATCAATTAGTTGATTAATACTGTAAATGAGTACACGGTCCTTCAAAATAAAGAGCACTGTATATAAATAATGTAACACCTCTGAACTGCTGCCTGACCCTCAGCAGATAAATCTAGAGGACTCCCTAGAGGTGGTCTACTGGATTAATCCATTTCATAGCAGTGGTTTATGCTATATGGGAGAAAGACAAACATTTTTCTTACCTCCTTCATTAGCAAGATGGCACCTGAGACCACAGGCCCAATGTCTCTTGCCCCTAAAGAAGCAGAAGTTTCAGCATCATATAAAAAGTTTGAGCTAAACTATATAAAGAGCCCATGACTCTCCCTTTTCCTCTCTCCTCCATCCTTCTCTATCTTTGGATGTGGGACGTTCTTCAACAGAGTTTAAGAGGAGAAGGATCATGAGAGCTAAAAGGGAGAAAAGGCAGATGAGGAGTGAACCAAGGTAGAAAGTTGGTGTCAGATATAGAGCATCTTCTTGTTTATTTGCCACTGTGCTCCACCTGCCTGGGGATAATATTGAATGTCTTCCTCTTCTTATTGAATATCCACTCTGCTCCAATGTTAAGCAAATATGCTAACTGAGAGCAAGCCTAATGGATAAAGTGACGACATATTTACTTTTGTTGAGGCAATGCCTATGTCTTTCATGTGTGTTATAGGTACAAGATAAATTGTGTTACCAAATAAAATTATAGCAAGTTGCTCTTCTGCTATGTAAGACTTTTCAGTCAAGATTGGAGTTGAGAGTAATGGTACCAGGCAAGTATTTAAGTGTTTATGAATAGTGAAAAATTATGGCCAACGTTATAGCCAGTTCCCTAAAGAGGAGAAAATTTGTGTGATTAATTCAAGTTTGTAATATTCTACCCATGGATTTCCTTGAAAACTAGCTCTGATCCTCCTCACAGAAGTGAAGGAAAGAGAAGACTCCTGCTAGATGCAGCTACTTCCCCCTGTTGATGTCTGTTTTCTCCTTATCTCTCACCATCCTGCATTAATGAGGTTACAGGGAAGGCAAAAATAACCTTCTTGATAATGGAGCTCAAAGAAGAAAAAACAAATGAGCAAAGCCCCATGTCAAAGAAGAAATCCCAATGTATATGGAAAACTCCAGGAATTCAAGCAAGGAAACTTGACAGGTGGGGTAGGGATTCAAAGACCTAGTCAAGAATGACACAGTCACAGAAGCCAGGGAGAATGGCTGAGTAATCAGAGATATTTGGTGAGAAGATACAGAAGTGAAGGCATATTCTGGAATAAATATGGCAGAAGATCATCCCTAAAATATGTTGATGTTATAAATATAGATTTGAGCATTGAATACATATCGATCCACATAAAAAAGTGGGATAAAGAGTATTAGTCTATCTATATTTAGATATTATAACCCATTAAGTCAGAGAGCTTCATATGTAGAATCAGAGGTCTCTACTCCAGCTCTAGGCCGTCCACTTATACTAATGATAACGGTCTGTGCCTCAGTTTCCTTAATTTGAAAATAAGGATAGTAATGGCGTTTTCCCTGTGCAACTTAATGGGTTTTTGAGAGAATCAAATATAACAATAAAACTATGAAAGTACTTTATAACCTAAAAATTATTTTATTAATGTGTCGTGAAGACTGATATAAATTAAGAGGGTTAGATGGAAACATGTCCTAAAGAGAAAAATCTTTGGGAATGGAGTGAGGTTGGACATCCATACATACTAGGATGATGTTAATACAAAAGATAGAAGAAGTCGGTCTTAATTAACATAAAATGTATGGTTTGCCATGATAGGTTGCATTCACTCCAAATCCCATCTTTCATACTTTTGATCTCCAGTTATAATAATTTAGAAGATTGTCGCATCTGTGCATTTTTACAAGATTCATGGCCGGTAGTTTTGGCTATTGGCGTGAATGTAGTATATCTGTTAATTACACATATTTACCTTACACCCCATCTTTCTGATGTTCTTTCCTAATTTATGTGAAAGAAAATTGAGATCGAATTCTAGAAGAGGACAATAAAAACGAAGTTTTAAATGATCATCCTGGAGACTGTATTTATTTCATAGCCAGAGTAAATGAGAAAAAAAAAAAAAAAGGCAGTGACTGAGCCAGTTTTTCCTGACCCAGCTCAGCTTTGGTTTTTCAGCCAGTAACGAAATATTATCAGTAGTGATATTAGTCACATATCCCTGTGTGGTTAATAAATAAAAACCGGTCATAAGGCATGATTCATGAAGAAAGTAGCTAAATGGGACCCTGGAGTAAACACACACCTCATGCCAGTTCTCCATCAGGGAGAGTCAGTGAGAATTAAGTGGTAGATTTACTAAAAAATAGTTTATATTAAATTAAAAGTACTGGGTAAGATGAAAGGAATTACAGTATGTTTTGTTGAGTTTGGTTTACCCAAAATATACTTTCTGTAGATGAAGTCTATGTAAGGATTTTAGAAGGTGCTATTCCTTGTATTTTGATACTTGCTACAGACAGATACTGCACTCATATCACAGGAGTGTATATGGATAGACTAAAGTTCCTGAATGACTATGAATTACTTACTTCTTATCTGGATATTGGGTGTTACAGTGGTAAAGCGGTTGTGCTTTAATATAGAGATAGGGTGAAGGGAGGTGAGAGTTAGCAAAAGCAGTAAATGGACTTTAGAAATGAACTGGGCCAACTTTGGAATGAAAAATAATGTAGCTGAGTAAAATCATTCTTTAAATGCTTTATGA